TAATTTAAAAAGATTAAAATACCTTATTTTTAATATATAAATTAGATTGTTTTTGCTTTTTTTTTTAGTGCTTTATCTATTTTTTATTTTTTTATTTTTTTTTATTTTTAAAATTAATTGTCTTTTTATTTAAAAAGTTGTGATTATTATCAACGATTAATAATTAAAAATAAATGATTATAATTTTATATAAAACATATAAGTAAGATTTGTATAAGAGTATCTTCTCTGCTATCAATTTAAGTAATTTAGTAATAATCTTTTTATTAAAAATAAAAGATTATAAGTTTGAATTACAGGATACAAGATGAGATGTGTTAAGATATGATCGAAGATTATTTCTTATTGTATAATTTAAAATTAAAAAAACTAAAAAAGTATCCTATATATAGATGCATGTGTGCTTGAGATTTATGTTATATAAGATTTAATTTCCTATTAAAAGTATAATTTAAGTATTAAAATTATTAAATTTTCATTGATAAAATAACATAAAAAATTATTGTTTTATTGGACTCAATTGATTGTATGGCAATTAGAAAGGAGGTTTGCAGGTAATTTCCATCCGTTTTACCTTTTTACCAAAAAGAAAAGAAAAATCATCGATTGAGGAGAATCCAGCTTTAACTTTAATGAAATTTCTTATCTGGAATGCTTTTCTAACATGGAGGTCCATTTCCTACTCCTTTCCTTTCCCACCAAATTCGAAAGGAACAAAGGCATCCAATCCTATCAATGAGGTTTACATACCACCATCATTGGTTGCTATTGAAAATGCGTAAAAGTTACGGGTAAATAGATTCTGATCATATAATTTTATATGAGTAAATTTTATAATCGTAAAAGTTATGTGCAAAAAATTTTAATTATATAATTTTAAATAAATATAATTAACATTTATTTATATATAATTTTATGAGATTAGTACGTATCAATTTTAACTCTAAAAAGTAATTAGAATTTAAACTTACATTTAGAAACTGAAATCTCATTATCTTAAATGTTAATATTCAATTTTAGAAATTTATTATATATTCTAATAAATTAATATTTAATAAGATAATTTTTAAATTTTAACTTAAGTTTTAATTAAATAAAAT